ATTTCCCTGACCGGCAGTCCCACTCTGTCTCCCTTCTCACAGGCTGGGGCTACCAGAGTGGAGGGCACCTGTGGGCACATCCTGGATTGCTTTAAGTGCAGTAAGTCTAGGCAAAGAAACGGGAACTCGTTTCCCTAAGGACGGATTCCTGGGCCCCTTCCATGGCCAGCCCCTGTTCTCGGTACAGGTGACGAGGCCTGCACCGAGTCCCATTGTTGTAATATTATGGAAGACCAAAGGCGCTAATGGAAACGCTTAAGATGGTGTCTGGCGCTGAATAAAAGCACGGTCGGCGTGAGCAGGTTTTATTGCTGGTGAACAGAACAGGAGAGTGCGCTGAACAAGAGCCCAGGCAGCCCTCTTGCCGGGACCGGAACACTAAAGACAGACATGCTTCACCAGGAGCTGCCAGCTCCCATCCCCTCTCCAAGCCCCAACACTACCACTGGGGACCTCCCTGAGACTCCTCAGAGGACTGTGCCCACATTATACTTCTCCAGGAAGGTGGGAGCTTGGCGGTGAGGAGTGGGTATGGTCCCTCCCAGGTTGGAATACCATGCACTGCAGAAGCAGACACAGGGGCTAGGACTCGATGGCTTAGATGTTTGGGTCCGGAGGTCCCAGGAGTCCTGTCCTCCTGGCTGTGGTGGACATGGGTGGCCAGAAGGCAGCTGTCCCTCTAATAGTAGAGTTCCTGGTCCCACCAGCCTGGGAGAGAGGGAGAAAGACTCAGATCTGGGGGCTGCCAGTCAAGAAGGGGAGACAGGGATTCGAAGATTATGGATCGATGGATCAGCAGCTGTTTGAGTTGGAGGTCAAGTGTTGGGGATCAAAGGTTGGGACAGCTAGTCTGCAAAGGTTCCTGGCCTCCCACCCCTGGTGCCCGGTCTCCACACTCACTCCCTGGGCAGCAGCGAACGCCAAGTTTCCGGAGCTCATCATAGACAAAGATGAGGAGGCCGAAGGGCAGGGGTACCAGCCACCACTGATACCTGAAAGCACAGGTGAGGTGGCCAGGTGACGGCTGTGCCCAGGTCTGTGCCCTGCACCCTCAGCCGTCAGCTCCCACCTCACAGCAGCTTACCGAATGGGCATGAAGTTGAAGATGTTGGGCATCCCGGGGCAGTAGCACAGGAAGCAGCCGATGCAGACCTGGAACACGATGGCGATCACCAGGATCTTGTTCCTGTGGGTGGGGCGGGAAGGCCAGGAAAGGCCATCAGGACTTGGGGGGGCAGATGGACACTGGGGAACTGGGTTAAGCAGGTCAGATGCCATCAGCAGCAGGGAGGTGTCTAGAGCTCTGACACCGCATGTGTCCACATGCCTCTCTGACCTTG